CCCCAAAACCCCAAAACCCCAAAACCCCAAAACCCCTGGGGTTTAGTTTAGGTTTGAAATTCAATATTTTGGATTATGGCCTCAGATTGTGGAACTTTGACAAAAAGAGTTGGTTATTCTGGACAGACTTGGAATACAACAGGGAGTTATATCACTTTGAATGTTGTGTGAGTGTACAAATTGACATCCACTTCTACATATATAAATGGCATAAAGATAGATGTCAGTAAGTCAAGTTTCAACTTATCTTATAAATTTACCAATAGATTATGCAACAAACGCTGATAATCATAGAGATTACTGGATGTCTTAGAAAAGACTTTATTATAAGTGATCAAATGCCCGTTAAGAATTCAGTTATATGAAGGAATAAAAATCCTCTATGCATTTTGATTTCCTTTACCTTTAAACTTCAAAATATCCCATTCAAATATGTCTATATAGCAGTGTTCGCTAGCTCTTCAGCTTATGATGATGACAAGGAGAGTTCTATGAGCACTGGAGGCACAAAGACAGTGTCTATAGATTGGGACTTTGCGATTTACATTGTAGTTCACCCTACCTCATCTAGCAATGCTATAGATATTGACTATAAAGCGGTAAGAACAGTAAAGTAAGATTTTGAGTACTTTTGAAAAGAACAGTGAGTGTAGGAGCAGTTATTGGGATTATCCTTGGCAGCATTTGTTGTTTCATTATAATTATCGGTGGAATAATCGGTACAGCTGTATTTTGCTCTGTCAAGAAAGCTCAAATGGGTTTAAGAAATCAAGCCGAAACAAATAATGGTGCTGCTACTGCTGTTCAAATCAGTCCACAGCATCAAATGATTACTGATCTAGCTCCTTAACCTCTTTATATGACTCGTAGGGATTTATGATTTTCTTGAGAATCAGCATAAGCTAGCTTTCTAGATTTATCTTTGTTTTGGAAGAGTTCTCATTACTTGGTGGTTATTTTACTCTGAAAAATCTTTTATGAGGTTTTATAAATATTTCAGCAATTTAGATTTATATTGGGGTTTTGGGGTTTTGGGGTTTTGGGGTTTTGGGG